ATCTAAATCTAAACCACTACATGTGCATGTAATTCATTTAACTAGTTAATGTCTAGTTGTGTGATTGTTCTTGTCTTCATCTACCAACAAATGGTTTGTGTTCATAATGAGTGTCCATTAGGAGAGTAGGGCCAATTGAAGATGAAGGCAGGTGTAAGGGATGCTGTTTGTACTAGACTACCAAAACCAGCCCCTCCCTTCAGTCCCTTGTCATTCTGGCCACGCGAGACTATTGTCAATTTGTCATTCTTTTGCAAAATTTGCATCCGGTTAGCTTGTTCTTTGATCAATGGCAACTAAAACCAGTTCTTGTTCCTCTTCTCTGAGTCTCTTCTCTTCTCCTTTGACTATTGGTAATGTTCATTAACTATCTATGTATCATTGAATTATTTTGAATATGATTTTAGAGCAACTTATGAACGTACTTATTCTGCTGAAGAGTTGTGGTTTCCCTCAAACAAGATGGAGGGCACTAGGACTGAAACTAGGACTACACAAGAGCACGCTGGACGCCATTGAAAGGAATCATCCTGATTATGTATCTGGTTGCTTGACAGAGTGTCTCTCCAAGTGGTTGTCCAGAGCTGATAATGTTGACAGTAAAGGAGGAGCTACCTTTGACTCACTGTCAGATGCTCTTAAATCTATGAATGAGAATGCTGCAGCTGACAAGTTAGATCAAGAGAGTAAGTTAATATCACTGATTGTATTAGTATTGATTGTGTGTGTGTGTATTCTATAGAACGTAATGCTATGATCAGTGGTAATGATATCAAAGGAACCAATGATGTACACAGTACTGCTACTGGTGAGTGTTACATTACTGGACTAAAGTACCTATAGATTACAAAAATTAATATTTTCAGAAGTGTAAGTAGCATGATTATTAAAATAATTGCTACAGAATTTCTTGCATAGTAAACTGAACACAACTTTTACAGAAGTGATAACAGATTAAAAGCATGCACTTATTCATATCTTTCCTGTGAATGACGTTTCCAATTTATAATGATATTCATTGGGATACCATAAATAGAAAAATTTTTAGGCTGCCATTGTGTAGGTATTACTGCACTGTTTCCAATGGAGCTTAATACACTTTCTGCCGTTTTGTAAGAAGAACAAGCAGTTATAGCCTCAAAAGTAAAAAAATTGCAACCTTTATCTTTCTTTTCAGTAGTCTGCAACTGTTTAGAGCCACTGGAGTGATGTGGAGAAGTAGAATTGACAGTTTTTAGCCTGTCGGTCCATTGTAGCTAAATGATAGTATATACCTCCACAATGGCAGCCGGAAAAATTTTCCATTTACAGTATCCCAATGAATATCATTATAAATCAGCAATGTCATTCACAGGAAAGATATGAATATATAAACAGCTACTGATTACATAACAGAACATAAACATTAATTAACACATAGTTACATATTGTTACATCATCACTGCATATAGACCTCTAGATCTGTGAATGACAAAGCGCATGAATATTATTATTTTGAGATACGGTATCCGCCTAGATGCAATAATTGGCCACCATTTTGGATGGCAAGATTCAATGAAGAAGGAATGGAGTAAACTATAGAAGAGCTTGTTTCACTGGTCTGGGATTCTTTAAGCTACAAAAGTTGGTTGGAAGAAAGAATGAGTGCTACCAAGCATCTCATAAAACAGATTTGGTGCAATGTGCAGCAGATTCTTTACTGTAGCTTGCTTTCTGCTTTTGCTCATTGGTTCACCATAGAAAGTTGCCGTCCATGGAACTTAATTCTTTCTTGACTGCACCCATTAACGTATTTACTCTAGTGACATAATTCATTCTCAGCCTAGAGGTCTATAATAATAACAGAAAACTAAAGTGTTAGGCTTAGCTAGCCCAAACCAGTGTATTAATGTAGAACAAAAGTGACAGACTGGGCAAGTGTGAAAAGTATGATGGGACTCTGGAGTCCCTCCAAAAATTGGTAAAATGTGTTCATAAATTCCTATTAGCATCTTAAGATTTGTCACTTATTTATACACTATTTATATACTTATTGCACTTTTAAAAAAAACAGCATCATGGGCAGCTTTTGATGTGGCCACTATCTATCAAAAACATACTACACAACTGAAGTGTGCTCCTGAGGCCAAGGGATTATAGTAATAGCTAGCTTCCTAGCTGCAGTTACGCTTGCTCTTGCATGCTTGCAGAAGTGGCAAGCTATGCTCCAGGCTCCAGCAACTCCCAGCTTGGAGGCATGGCATTAATTATCAATAATAACCATGTGAGGAAGAGCTTCAGATTTCTTCTCTTCTTCTAAGGGCTATAAGATGTTGTAATGGCACAAATACTGTTGCATAGATAGATTAAGTGACTTAATGGAGTTTAGGATCTTTAAACATGTGAACTATCATCTGCTACAGCAGTTCACTCGGGATAAAATTTGAATAGTTAACTCACGAACAAGAAAAATTTAAGCATAGGCAGCTACAGGGTCGGGCATAGTTGGGCAATGCCCAACTAAAAATTTTGACCAGAAATAAGAATTTAATTAATGACATCATTTTCAGTCATGAAAAATTATCATGGCTAGCAAGAGATGGTCCTTTCTACTTTCCTTTGTCAAAAAGCATTCAGGACCAGCACTTTACAGGTTGAATAGAGGATATGCATGCTAAGTACATGTATCTTTATTGCAAAACAAATATATTCATTGCATACTGCATGTATACTTTCAAGAAAAAAAATTAATTTATTGGACGTCAGTTTTCCATTGGCAAGAATGGAGAAACGATAGAAAAAGGCCTGGTACCAGGAAACCGCTCTGTATTTCTTAATAGCAATCTTTCAGGTGACTACTAGACCCCATTAGATCCTTAGGATGCTTTCTAAGCTTCCGAAAAAGGCCTCAAGAAGGTAGCAAGACAAGAAAATGTGTTTTCCCCCATTGAACTCTT